CCCCCCGACACCCGCCGGACACACACACACACACACACACACACAGGGATGCGGTCGTGGACCAGGCAGGAGGTGGGGGCGCAGTTTTCAGTAACGCACCTGACTCTGAGCCTAGGCCTCCTGGTCTGTGAAAGGACAATGAAACGAAAAGACTTCTAAATTTTAGAGCCCTGCAGGCAAAGTGGGTCCTGTAGCCATTCGCGGGACAGTGGCACGCGTGGGTACCTGTGCCAGTGTCTGGGTCTCCTTCCGGCCCCACCACCAAAGTGAAGGCAGACGCACCTCTCACCTTGCTCAGGAGAGAACATATAGTCCCTGTCGTTTGTACGCACTCTACAGTTTGTAAATCCTCCCTACAAGGATTTTACTTCAACAGTATGTGAGTCAAACTGCCTGAGTTTGAGTTCAGCCTCTGCCGCTGCCCGGCTGGATGAACTGGATGAACTTGCACAGCTTGCTCACCTTCTCTGTGCTTAGTTTTCTGGTCCATACGTTGGGGCTAATACAAGAACGCACCTGGCTGAATTATTGTGAGGATTAAGTGGCTGACACGTGTAAGGGGCTTGCTCCCGCCACCACTGTTGGCAGTTACGATTGAGGCCCTGCTGTGTCTAACTCAGAGCCCAGAACTTTCCAGACCTGGCCCCTCCCGGTATCAAAGGGGGAAAGAAGCTTAAGGCAGCACACTTCTCAATTTACATGTGCGCACAACTCCCCTGGGGATCTTGCTAAAATGTGATTCTGATTCAGCAGGTCGTGGGTAGGGCCTGAGATCCTGCAAGTCTGACCAACTTCCTGGCCCTGCTGCAGCTGCCATGGCATCCTACGAGAAGTGAGGTCTTAGAGCAGTGGTTTGTAAACTTGACCTTAAGTCAGATTCACCTTGAAGTCTTGGTAGGGGCCGCTGGGACCTCCCCCCCCCCCCCCCCCCCCCCGACTTTCCGATTCAGTAGGTCTGGGAAGAGACCTGAAGATAATGCATTTCCGATCGTTCTCAGGCGATGGTAAGGCCGCTGAGGGCAGAGGGCCTTTATTTTAGAACCTCTTGCCCCACAAGCTTCTGGCCACTACTAAAGTCAAGCGGTTGGGGGTGGGGAGGATGGGCTGGATAGTAGAAATCATTAAACAGGGTGCCTGGGTGGCTCAGTTGGTTAAGTGTCTGACTTTGGCTCAGGTCATGATCTCATGCTTGGTGGGTTTGAGAGCCTGGAGCCTGCTTCGGATTCTGTGTCTCCCTGTCTCTCTGCCCCTCTCCTGCTCACGCTCTTTCTCCATCTCTCAAAGATAAATGTTAAAATTTTTTTTTTAAAAATAAGTAAGAAAGACAAGGTAAGGATGTCCTGACTCTTAAAGGATAGAAGGGAACAGAGGAGACCTCAGCGGCTCACATCTTCCTCTTTGGGATGCTTTCTCCCCAGACAACCCAGAGAGCCGAGGGAAGCCTGATGGCAGCAGCAAGGCTCGAAAGGAGAGGACAGCCTTCACCAAGGAGCAGCTTCGGGAGCTTGAGGCCGAGTTTGCTCACCATAACTACCTGACCCGGCTCCGGAGATACGAGATCGCTGTGAACCTGGACCTCTCGGAGCGGCAGGTGCAGCCCAGGGGCCCCTCCTCCTCCGGCCGTCCCTTCTTTCCTCTGCTCTCTCACCCCCCCCCTACATCCCCCCACGTCCCCCCACACCTCTCTTTTTTCTCCTCTCTGCCCAGTGCAGTGGTTCTCAACTGTGGCTCTACTGAGAATTACCCGCAGAGATCTGAATAACATTGATGTCTGGGCTTCACCCCTAGAGATTGTTTTCATTGGTCTGGGACATCGGAGTTTTTCAAAGGTCTTCTAGATGGTTCTCACAGGCAGTCAGGGCTGGAACCTCTTATCTGGTTATTCCCAAAGTGTGCATTGAAATCGTCTAGGCCCTTGCTTAAAATGCAGACTCTAAGGGGTGCCTGGCTGGCTCAGCCCAAAGAGCATGTGACTCTTGATCTTGGGGTCATGAGTTCAAGCCCCATGTTGGGTGCAGAGATTACTTTAAAAATCAAATTAACAACTCAAGGGTCACCTGGGTGGCTCTGTCGGTTAAGCGGTTAAGCGTCTGACTCTTGGTTTCGGCTCAGGTCACGATCTCATGGTTTGTGAGATTAAGCCCCACACCAAGCCCTGCATTGAGCCATGTGTCGGGCTCTGCACTGAAAGCGTGGAGTCTGCTTGGGATTCTCTCTCTCTCCCTCTCTCTATGCCTCTCCCCCAACCGCTCTCTCTCTCTCTCTCAAAATAAATAAACATTAAACAAAATTTAAAAAGTCAAAAAAAAAAAAAA